TTAGAATCTAATTCCGTGGTTATACTGAAGACATCGCCAGGATGCTTCCTTCCATCTCTACATGTTTTAGGTGGAAAACGCGTCCCAAACGGGAACATTCATGTGGTATTAACAACACAAGTGTACATAGCATGGAAAATAGACACTTATCAACGAGGGAAATAACACAAATATACATAGAATAATATTCCAAACCAGAAGTAACTAATTTTATTAAAAATAATTATGGTGGTGACCCCCTTCCAACGAAGGTGAGATAACGAAAATCAAATGTCAAACTCGACAGATGATATTTTTGGTTGTCTTACCAGAGATTCAGAAGAAACCAGAACAGGAGATTAGTCAGTGAATTGTGGGCGAAAAAATGTTTCTCTGACGTCATCCTATTGTTTCTCTCCGCATGCCATCAGTCATACCCAACATTTGTTTCCGCACTTTTCCCGGTGTGAGATATATTTTTTGCCGCCTTTCACTTTTTACCCGTTCAATATTTCTCCGTCACCTCCTAGAGTATGACAGAAACAAAAGGATGACGTCAGAGGAACAATAAATCATGACGTCACAATCAGCTTTCGTCGGGAGTAGTAAATTGCAAATCAAATATGCCATATTCAGAGCCTCGGGTTAGACAACCAAAACTCCTCCCTTGTGTTGGAGATTTCCCTGTCACCCCCGCAAGGTAGGATAGGATGATTATAATTAACCTCACATGGGTAAACTCAGTGACCTTTATCATTGTGACGTCACAATCAGATATCGGCGTTACATTACGACACCGAGTTTTCCACTACATGTTAACCAGAAGAAATTGCGTTCAGAAGGCTATGAATGCAAAGGGATCAGCGTCATTTGAAGCTTCTCCTCCCGCCTCGAATTACTTGAGACAACCGTTAGAAGCAAACATTTTGGTGATTTAAGGCTGTTCCAGGATTCTCGTATGCACTGGCGATACACGAATGCCAATATTCAAATCAATAATAACTATAGAAATTAAAATGTATACATAAGGATTGAAATGCATTTTTCAATGTTTATGACGATGTAAACGCAAATCGGTGACAAAGCGAGTTATATGGTAAATATATGTATGCAACCGATTTCCATTCATACCAGCATCAATATTGAAAAATTGCCACTCAATCGTTATATCTAGGTAAAAATGAAATCCTGATAAAGCATACAAAGTTTACAATAATAATAACAATAAAACGTTGACCAAGAATAGCATTAAACCATAACAATGGTATGATTTATAGCATCTTCGCTAGCCAAAGGTTGATCCGGTACGATCTACCTACTCTTAGATCGTACCGGATCAACCCTTGGCTAGCGAAGATGGATTTATAGGTACAACAAAAATATCATGAACGAGAAATATCGGAGTGACAAGTAAATGACCAGTTACATCAGCGAATATTCAAATATGAATACCGAACACGGGGATACAAAATAGCAACAATGAATTCTATAATACGAATAGCTATAACAAACAAAACGTCAAAATCAGAAAAACAAACAATGATGATAAAATGAAGGACTCAACGTTTGACATGTCATACGGGACAGTTAGCCCTATTTTTAGAGTGTGGGCCAAATAGTGTGAATGTATATACGGGTTGTTCTGGTAAGTAACTTTTGTCTTTTTCAATGGCATATGATATAATTCTGGAAACATTTTGATTTTAAACATGGCGCTGTACACTAGGTGCGGATTGTCATCCATGGTAAACATACTGAGTTTGCAATTATATCGTCAGTTTATTTATTTAAATGAAAACTGCCGAATGCTTAGTTGGAGTATAATTATTGCCAATCATACGCCGTACAGCAAAGAATTACCCAAAAAATCCCGATATAAAGCGAAACTTTCGCGGTAAAATGCTACATTAATTTCGGGATATAACGCGAAATTATAGTATATATAAGCAAATTATAAACGGCGTTTTTTTTAGAAATCACACATAGACGTTTCAAACACAATTTTAAAAGCAAACATGCATCAGAAAATATGTCAAAAAGCTAGATTCCTATTGTTTACATAGTTTTTCACATGTTTTAAAAAAGAGACCAATTTTGCGGCCATTTTGAAAATGTGGGTATCTTTCGCGCTAAAATTAAACAAAGTCCAAATTTCACCTCCCCATTTTTAATTTATAAAGCTGCTATTTGCTTTACAAGTTGACAATGTTTAATATTATGAAAGTTATATGCATTAATGCAGGAAATAATGAAATAATCCAATATTGGTATTTTAATACTCTTTTATATCAGGTGAAGCCCATTTTATTTTTATCCTGCAAAAGTTGAAAAATAACACACAAATAAATTACAGTAAAAAAAACTTGAGAAGCGCACAGACCTCCCCTCTCCCCCGTCTAATGAACTTCCAAAAATTGTTTATACTTTTCACTCATATTCAACTGAACCACAGGGCCACGTTACAATCACACATATGCAATACTGATCAGATATGGGTCACAACACACGTATGTTTATGTGTGTTGTGACCCATATATCAGTAATAGCATATGTGTGATTGTAACGTGGCCCTGTGACTGAACTCAGCATCTTACATTGATTGATATGTACCTCTCTTTCTCTCTTGGTTTAATCGTCTTCTGGATTTAGTTAAATTGTGAAAGATGCCTAAATTACGATACTTAGTTATTGGGACTTTTAAAAGTGTACTTTCTAAATATACGGAATAGTTGGTTCAATACCATTTCAAATTTAGAACGTTGGCGGAAGTGTAACTTGACCTTGACCTTGTAATAAATGCATGGTGGCGAGAAGCGAGACGACAAAACGACGAATATCATGATTTTAATGGTAATAATTCATTGCAAGCCAGTGACCATGGTATCGTGTTCTGGTTTGATAAACTGAAAATCTCTGTGAAATATCACGAATGAGCTTTATCACACTAAAATTGATTAGGTGTGTCCTTTCCGCCGCTTTGCGCTTTTCCGCCATATTGGAAAGGTTGGGCGTTATTTTGTCGTTCGAAATACGTTGATAATTTTTCTCATTGATTGCCAATTTTCGCTTGTAGTTATTATAACTTTAATAAAGTTGGTTGAATTAAGCGTTATGCATAACGTTTCCCGTAATACTTGCAGCAGAATACAAACATCTCGGAGGGTGACCTAAAGGCCTGCTACATGTCCGCATTTGACCTGAGCAGGCAGGCTGGGGCCCGAATCCCCAACATGTGATGTCGATAAGTTTATTACCCTCGAAAATGTTAACTCCCTCGAATCAGAAACTCTTTGCATTTAACTTATGTGAGAAATTCATGTCTGTAAAACGGGGTTTCCCCCAGATATTTGTTTATATGCCAGACACCTGGATCAACCTAACAAATACACGACAGGAGAGGAGTCTATGTTTAGATATATATATATATGTGTGTTCTGAACTTAGCCATTAATATTTCATGTGTAACAGGAGAGGAATAATGAAATGGTGCCAGGTTGGCATTCACACCTTGGACAGGTCTGACGTTAATGTTAGATTGGTGCAGCATTTAGCAGAAATGTGGCCATCATTGCCGTTTTATATTATTACACTCTCTTCATGTACATTGTGTAACAGGAAAGAGAATTGTTTGTTTCCACTGAGGATCAATCGCGAACCTATGGTCCCTAGGTACCTATAGTCAGACGCTCCACCTGACTGAGCTAAAGGGAAATTCACTCTAGCTCGACGCAAGATGGCGACCGTAATCAATGAACAATTAAAACCTGCCACACAACTCATGTTTTAAATGTGTTCGCCCTCGAACACCACAACCAATGTTCTAACTCCACAGGGAGAGCCACAGACACCATTTGTAACAGGAAATACGGCCATATCGCAGCCTCCCAAATCACACACACATACACTACACACATGCAGCTACACAGGGGTGGTCATCCTAAAATGACCATGGCTGTTGATAGGACGTTAAACAATACTAAGCCAAACCATAAACAGGAAATAGAAAAGTGTGCTTCTACTGAGGATCAAACTCGTGATCCCTAGGTTCTTTATGTCGGAAGTTCTACCATTGAGCTAAAAGGAAATTCCCTCTACCTGCCACAATAGTGTACCATCCACTGTCTCTTTATATCCATGGTTATCTTTGCTGAATAATGTTGATACGGCATTATGTACACACAAATGTAATCTGACAACTACATGTACCATCAATGCAAGTATGAACATACATGGTGTACCGGTATTTGGTGGATTACATGGTGTGAAATATCTTTTTCAACAATATTCCAAAACCATTGCTGTGGCGTCTGCTTGACAATTAGGTAGGTCCTGTTAGCAGCCTAAATAAGTGTCAGGCACATGTCGAGCGCTTAATAAAGTCAGCTGGAAAAACAGTCTTAATAATGTATGCTTTAGTAACCGACATTCTTGACTAAAAGTAAAACGGGGAATTTAGGACAGTACTCCCTGTTTAACAAAAACAAGTTGCATATGATCAGAAATTATTATCCAAGTCTGTTCGAAACTTCAAAAACCAATTTGTTAAAGACTTACAAATGACACACACTTGAGTTTAAATTTATTATTTAAATCCAACTTTCACTGGTGGTCTGCTGAAGTTCCGTTGTTATCAGATCTATAACACAAATGTTTCTTGTTTACTGTGGACTCCAGATGCATTGAAATGTGTAAAAGCTAAAACAAAACTTGGCTGATGGAACTATGTAATTTTTTATCAGACGTAGCCTTTTTGAATTTTCATACAATGTAAAATATCTGCTGCTTCCTGATTGGGAGAATTTCTCTGTAGTCTAATATAACTGGTAAAGCCATGGACAAGCCAGAGGGCCCAGGTTCCACACTCTAGATGAAGCAGTAACTATGTATACATTTGCAGTGTTTATTTACCTGCGAGGCATGAGTCAAATTCTCACAGTTTTTCAATTTGATTCCTTGAATTTTTTAAAATTCAATTTTACATAGGATGACTCAATGATTTTCAGAACTTGCCGGGAAATGACTTGCTTTGTAAAAAGATAAAATAAAACACTGCATTTGAACACTTGTATTGCCAGCAATTTTTTTTACCTTTGCTTTTCAATACTTCCAGTATTTAGATTTTCAATGCTTTTGATTTTTAGTAAATACTAAATAACATGTCAACAAACTCAACATGCATTGGTTTCATATTTGAAAGTACATACAAGTATATCTCTGTGTATTGCTAATAGTTTCTGTTTCCTTTTCAGTAATCTGAGGTATATCTAGAAAACGGAGAAGTCAACCCTCTGAAACAAGATGTCTGACGGTCAGAATATTGAGCTTGTCCTCCACATGGTCAATAAAATGGTGAGTATATGATCAAGTTAGGAAGCCAAGCTACTGGTATGAGGACACGCAGGCACCACACCGTGTCACAGAACAGATTACACCGTGTCACAGAACAGATTACACCGTGTCACAGAACATATTACACAGTGTCACAGAACAGATTACACTGGTCACAGAACAGATTACACCATGTCACATAACAGATTACACCGTGTCACAGAACAGATTACACCATGTCACAGAACATATTACACCGTGTCACAGAACAGATTACACTGTGTCACAGAACAGATTACACTGGTCACAGAACAGATTACACTGTGTCACAGAACAGATTACACTGGTCACAGAACAGATTACACTGTGTCACAGAACAGATTACACCATGTCACAGAACATATTACACCGTGTCACAGAACAGATTACACTGTGTCACAGAACATATTACACCGTGTCACTGAACAGATTACACCGTGTCACAGAACAGATTACACTGGTCACAGAACAGAGTACTCCATGTCACATAACAGATTACACCGTGTCACAGAACAGATTACACTGGTCACAGAACAGATTACACCGGTCACAGAACAGATTACACTGTGTCACAGAACATATTACACCGTGTCACTGAACAGATTACACCGTGTCACAGAACAGATTACACCGGGTCACAGAACATATTACACCGTGTCACAGAACACATTACACTGTGTCACAGAACAGATTACACTGGTCACAGAACAGATTAAACTGTGTCACAGAACAGATTACACCATGTCACAGAACAGAGTACACTGTGTCACAGAACAGATCACACTGGTCACAGAACAGATTACACCATGTCACATAACAGATTACACCGTGTCACAGAACAGATTACACCGGGTCACAGAACACATTACACCGTGTCACAGAACAGATAACACCGTGTCACAGGACAGATTACACTGTGTCACAGAACAGATTACACAGTGTCACAAAACAGATTACACCATGTCACAGAACAGATTACACCGTGGCACAGAACAGATTACACCGTGTCACAGAACAGATAACACCGTGTCACAGGACAGATTACACTGTGTCACAGAACAGATTACACTGGTCACAGAACAGATTACACCGTGTCACAGAACACATTACACTGTGTCACAGAACAGATTACACTGGTCAAAGAACAGATTACACTGTGTCACAGAACAGATTACACTGTGTCACAGAACATATTACACTGTGTCACAGAACAGATTACACCGTGTCACAGAACAGATTACACCGTGTCACAGAACACATTACACCGTGTCACAGAACAGATAACACCGTGTCACAGAACAGATTACACTGTGTCACAGAACAGATTACACTGTGTCACAGAACATATTACACTGTGTCACAGAACAGATTACACCGTGTCACAGAACAGATTACACTGTATCACAGAACAGATTACACTGGTCACAGAACAGATTACACCGGTCACAGAACAGATTACACTGTGTCACAGAACAGATTACACCGTGTCATAGAACAGATTACACTGTATCACAGAACAGATTACACTGGTCACAGAACAGATTACACCGTGTCACAGAACAGATTACACCATGTCACAGAACAGATTACACTGTGTCAAAGAACAGATTACACAGTGTCACAGAACATATTACACCGTGTCACAGAACATATTACACCGTGTCACTGAACAGATTACACCGTGTCACAGAACAGATTACACCGTGTCACAGAACAGATTACACAGTGTCACAGAACAGATTAACTGATTCTGCTCGAGGGTGTAGAACTTTGGTCAGAACCAAGGCTTTATCTTTAGTCGCCTTACCGGCTGTAATGTGATGTGAATTTGATTACTTTGTAGTTTATCGGTACATACAGGTATGCTGTGTCAGGATAATAGTACACAAACTGTAAATGCCAGAATGATTTGATCACCTTTAATTTAGAACACAATTTTTAATAGCTACAATATTCTAAGTATTACTTAATTTTTAATCCACAGCTAGCTACATACATAGAAATGTACATGTGTATAACTTGTTGTGGTAATACAGAAGAAGACAGTTGTTTGAGGGGGTGAGTGTTTGTGCTTTCAGTGTGGTGAGCTGGTGGACAAGGGTCAGGAGTACTTTCTGGTAACAGCCAGTCCAAACAAAGCCTTGAACATAGGCTCAGCCAAGGGCAGACAATTCCTGCAGGCCAACACCGATGTGGTTCAGCGCTTCATCAAACATTGCTACAGTAAGTATGGCCATACAGGACCATTAGGGTTGGTTTATAGTGAAGAGCATAAGTACCGGCACATAGATATTATCATTCTCTTACCCTGGACAGGTGTATCCACACTTTTACTGGTGTGAGATTTCCTTGTCTCACCCTAGGGTTGACACGGGGGGGATTCCCCTATTCATTACAATGGTATGATGTCACTTATACAATCACGTCACGTCAACAAATCCATCAACGTTACGTCAACCCTGAAATTATCATTACATTGTGTATATGATACACAATGGGAGAACAGAGTAAGAGAAAAAGAATCATTCACCCCCTTGTGGGTGAGATAGAGGAATCTCAACCCTCAGGGGAAAGACTCTTTAAGTCGCCAAACACTCTGCAAAGCCTCGTGTTTGACAACTTAAGACTCTTCCCCCTCAGGTTGAGATTCCCCTATCTTGGGGTGAGAGATTCTATTAACCTTACGTTCCTGGCGATACTCTACACCTCAGTAAATGTTTTATAGACTCGTTCATGGCGATACTCTACACCTCAGTAAATGTTATATAGACTCGTTCTTGGCGATACTCTACACCTCAGGAAAAGTTTTATAGACTCGTTCCTGGCGATACTCTACACCTCAGGAATATTTTATAGACTCACATGTTGAGTGATGTTACCTATATTTACAAGGGTGTAAAGTATAGCAAGGGTCTGTGAGAGATTAGGACACTGAGTGGTGTTACCTATATTTACAGGGGTGTAAAGTATAGCAAGGGTCTGTGAGAGATTAGGACACACACTGTGTTTATTTAAAGCCAGTATGAGATACTCTGCTGTGACCAGCTACTTTTTAATCACTTAAAAATTTCGTCACTATTGTTATCACCTTTGTCACGAGAATGTGTCAAAAACGTAAATTACTTTCTATTCCCAAAGTTATTGAGGTTACAGAACACTGATATTCAGTGAAAGTTTGGTACATGGTGTGTGGTATATTTAGCAGGAGTGACGGGTCTAAAAACATTGTACATTAGCACTGACAGATGTTGAAGGTATTGGTCTACCAGTGATTTTATTTGTTCAGTTTTACTGCCAAATAGCCCCTAGCTAAAAAGTGCCTTATTTTCCCAAAATGACCAAAAACTAAGGAATGTATTCCATATTTCAATACAAATAATCCTTGATATCCAGGGGTTCGCTCCCTTTCTCTCTCTGCACCCCTGGAATTTGTCATGGCAAAATTGAAGGCTCAGCATGCACCACCTTGTGGATGAGACGAGAAGATCTAGACCAGTTTGTTCCTTTGATGTACATCAGTAGAATCTTGTGGTCGTGTAACGGTAAAAAATGACAGACTTTGAAGTCGGGCATCGCTCCTTTGTAATCTTCAAAGGACAAGTATCAGCTTAGTGATTGGTCAGGTGTTTTTTACCCGAGACCAATCAAATAGCTAGCCGCATGCCTTCATTTTTGCTATGACATATTCCAGGGGTGTAGAGAGCGAAAGTGAACGTAACCCCTGGATATCGAGGATGCAGTTTATGAAGTCTAACAGTAATATGGTAACATGCTTTACATAGAGAATGAACTAGGCTTGTATCAACTTTATATAGAAACTCCGCATTTCTGATTAAGCTTTGTGTTACTTGATGTGGTGATCAATCACGACTATGACATATCTGTCCTATGCCCGACAAATGTCCTTTATTTAACCCTTTCACCCCTATGTAACTTTAGTAGACTCTACCATGCATTGATCTGGATGAGTCCATTATGGTCTACAGTGGTGAAAGGGTTACCAGATCACACATGTATTTCTAGAGAATGTTTTGGAGACTTTCTATCAAGAATTATATAAGTATATCTGTGTTTTTCAAGTTTTTGTGTTAGGTTTGAAGAAAATAGGAAAATGATAATTATATTTTTTGTTATGAAATTTACACATGTATACATGGTTATTATTTCTGCCTTTTTATTGTCAGTAATGTATGATGTCTGATGATTCACCTTTCAGAAGTAATTTGGTTCCATTTTATTGGAAAAGACCTGATTGAAAACATCAAGACTATATGTATTGAAATAAAGATTGTACATAACTAATTAAAATGTGGTTAATTCACGTGTGGGTATGTGGACAAAAGACAACACTGCGGTCATTTCTTCAAAATTCGAACATTCAATTAAAAAACAAAATTTCAATCCAGATCCAACTAAAAAATCTGTACATGTACAATATGTCAAGAAATTTGCATTGTATTAAAATGTACGTCCAACTCAATCAATATAGACTTTTAACATCAGATTTAAAGTTATCTAATTTTTATAAGAACCAGTTCATTTCTTTTGGAAGATTTTTTTTTCAATTTTTTAAAATTCAAAAATTTCCACAGTGCATACGAAAGCCTGCAATACAACGATTGCTTAAATGATTCAACACTTCTGTGTAATCTGTTCGAATGAGGTTCTACCGCTGTGTTGTTTTCTGTCTGCAGGTTCCAAGGCGACGGTTAGAGAACAGGGTCTGGGGGAGAAATCAAAGACAAAACCAGTAGGATTGGAGACGACCCCAAAAATTACACAACATACTGCCAAGTTGGTGCCGTTAGCAAAAGTCCAACAGAAAACACCACAGAGCTCCACACTGGAACCTTCACCACGGTCACTCCGGAAAGGTGAGGGAAAGGACGGAAATTCTAAGAAACCAACAGCAACACAAAAAAGTAAAAGCGTGGAAAGCCCGTCTGGTGCTGGTAGTGTTCTGTCTGCTGTTAACCTTACAGCCACCACAACCAAGGTGAACAAACCAGTGGCGGGGACTAAAAACAGTGCTGGCTCCAACACTGTGGGCAGTAGAGTCGGGGAGAGAGGCGAAACCTCACAAGGGGATGAACTGGAGCAAACGAAACTGAAGGTGGAACTTCCTGACTCGCCCTACGTCAGTAGCCGTCCACTTCCTGACTCGCCCTTCGTCAGTAGCCGCATCGAAGATACAGCAGAATCAAATAAAGCGGATGAAACAAGCTCCCCCACTAGAATGTCCCTTCGTGCACAGCGAAAACGTAAAATATTTACCGATTGTGAGATGAGCCCGTTAAAATTTGTCCGCCAAACATTTCAAAATGAGTTGAAAACTCCACCAGTCAGTAAAAAGGCCAGTAAAGCAAAGGGAGATAAAGACCAAGTAACCCATCTGAGGTCTGGCAAGAAAACTCCAACATTAGACAAGGACAAAGTAAAGGGGAACGCTAAAACATCCAAGTCTGATGAAACCATGTCCTCCTCTGATAAAAAAAGATCTAAAAGTCCCTCGGGGCATTCTACAAAATCAACAAAAAAATCTAAACAAGGAGCACTGGGAGACAAATCTGTAGAGTTACAGAACTGTACGGTAAAGTTGTCGGTCCTATCCGGGACTACACATAAAGCAGCGAAACCTGGCAGCAGCTCCGGGGATTGTTCTCAAGTTTCTGTAAAGTCAGAAGAACCTAGGCCGAGAGGCAGGAGATCGGAGGACCAAGTTAAGGCTAGGAATGTTGCAACACTTCCTCATAAAACCCAAGTAGGTCAGACTAGGCACTCGGGTAAAGAATACACTGGTATCAAGGAGGTGGAATCACCGAGAGACGAGAACACAGAGTCTAGCGAGACTTGTGTCAAAAGTGAAGCCGGATCACACGATGAACCGGAACGTGTAACAGACAATGAGGTGGATTTAAATCTGGAGTGTACCGTCGAAAGTGACGAGGACTTTGAGGACAATAATTACGTTGACGACAGCGACGATGAGGATTTCAACGTTGTTGTCAGGAAAAGGGTGTTGGTCAGAAAATCTTCATGTCCGTCATTTAGGAAAAGTGTTCAGAAAGCTGTGAAAGGTAAAGGGATACGCGGACGGAAAAAAGGTGTCAAATATAAATCGCCAAAAGTGGAGAGTTTTCCCTGTTCCATATGTGAGAAAGTGTTCAGGGGAGCAGGAGCCATGGCGCGTCACGCTATTGTCCACACAAAGCAGTGCATGGAGTGTGAGGAAGAGTTCCCTGACCATGAAAGCCTGTTAGTTCACAGAAAAACTTGTAAGCTGGTGAAGCGTAGTAATAAACTCTACCCCTGTGACAAGTGCGACCTGGTTTGCATAGCTCCGTGGTCGTTAAGGCGTCATCAGATAGCGTCGCACGAGTGGCGCTGTCGATATTGTAAGCGTCTTTATGACTCAGAGGAGAGTCTAGATGATCACTTGGAGAATTGTATCGACAAGGCGGTGAAGGAGAGCGAGCAGCAGGACCGTATAGACGGCCAGCGACAAGTATGTGGCACATGTGGCAAGCAGTTCGCTAACAAAGGAATCCTGATGTCACACATGAGGTGTCACACAGAGGAAGTTACCTCCCTTATCAGTGAGATCTGTGGGGTCGACTTGGAACAGGTGGACAGGATTGTAGACGATATTGGAGGTGAATCAAAAGAGAATGATGGTCTACAGGAGGCAGAAAAAGCCCTGTCCCCCCGTCTTCTGAGGTGTGTGAACTGTGGTGTGGAGTTCCGCACACCTAAGGCCCTGACAAAGCACAGGAAAACTTGTGTGGTGGAGACGAAAAACTATGTGTGCCAGCAATGTGACAAGTCCTTCAAACTGCGCTGTGAACTGAATAAACACGCAAGAAATTATCACCCAGAGACATATTCCATGCGTGCTTTGTACCGTAATGAACGCGACCTCGGCGAGCGAATTTGGTGCAAGTACTGCAACAAGACCTCCTACAACCACGCCTGGATGAAAGTTCACACTGAGGGTCACATAGAGAAAGGGGACTTACTGCTGGAGGCAAAGGAAGAATCGACAGAGGAGGACATGGAGACTGACCCACTGACTAAAGGGAGTGAGCTCGGCAAGGTTAGGTCAGAGGTCACAGAAACTATGTCCGAGGTCAATGAACCAAATCCAGAAAATCCAGAGGCAACTGACACTCATGTTGATCGTGATGCAGAATCTGAAGTTAACAAAGAATCTGCATTAGATAGGTCGACAATCAATGATGCGGGGTCAGAGGTCAATGACTCAGTGTCAGAAGTTGGGGGTCCATTGTTCTCGGAAGACGGCAGTGTTCTGTTGAGTTCATTGAGGTGTAAGCTTTGTAAGATATCGTTCAAGAACAAACATGAGCTATACTCTCATGCAGTTTCTCATCGTGTGTTTAAGTGTGATATTTGTGACAAGGTACTTGCTAGTGCTGGGTCACTGAAAAAGCACCTGCAGATTGCCCACAGTTCCCAGCGTGACTACATGTGTGAGTTGTGTGGGAAGGCGTTCAAAACACCACGCTGTGTTCAGCAACACATTGGCAAAGTCCATGCCAATCGAAATTCACATAAAAACGAAGAACCCCCAGGGCCTCACGTGTGTCCCGTCTGTGACAAGGTGTTTGATTCCAGACGTCTCTTAACTAAGCACAAGTACTACCACAAGGACCGGACTACAGCATGTCCTGTCTGTGAGAAGTGTTTCTCGGGCAAGGGGGAAATGTTGTACCACCTCAAACATGTACACTCTGATGCACGAAACTACGAGTGTGCTCTCTGCCAGAAATCTTATAAGACCAAGTCGTCACTACGAGAGCATAGAGCACAGCATCACATGAGTCGGGAAGGTTGGCGACATCGTTGTGAGTATTGTGACAAGTTGTTCAACAAGAAAAGTCAGTTGACCTACCACAAGAAGGTACACACTGGAGATAAGCCGTTCTCATGTAGCCACTGCGAGCTCACCTTCACTCAGAAAGGGAATCTGTACAAACACCTGCAGACTGTCCACATCAGGGAGGTCCAGTACACGTGTGAGTTGTGTGGTAAGGGATTCTACCTCAACGAGAACTACAAGCTCCACATGAGAACGCACGCGGTAGAGAACGGTACGGCTGCTAACGTTGGGGATAAGTATGGGGCCATCAGCCACTGTACAATCTGTAACCGCTACTTCCCGCGTACATGTACGTACAAAGCTCATCTACTAATGCACAAACAGGAGTGGAAATACTCCTGTCCCATTTGTAAGAAGAAGTTTGTCACGGTGACATCGTGTACGCGTCATTTAAAGACTCATCTGAAATGTAATATGAGTTCCCTGGAGATCCGTGAGAAATTTCCGCTGAAGATTGGAACCTCTGAGACCTCGGTAATGTCTCAACTAATATCCGAGGTCACGACAGACGGGAGCCAGGATAAGTCTGGGTCAGCTGGAACCAAGGGAGCTCACTCTAAATCAGTTCTAATCAAGAAGACGACGTCAAAGATGAAACATACTGAAGCGCCGAAAAAGATAAAATTAGATATACAAAAATACAAGAAAGTAATCAGCTCAAAAAAAATAATGAAAAGTGGATCAGGCAACGTGCGTTCAGTGTTAGAATCTTTAGCGACAGGCGGGGTGGTTGAGGAATCGCCTGACATCACACTCAACTTAGTTCCCATGTTGGATGACAGCCCCAATACATCTGGGGACATCAGCTCCATCAACAATGCCTCCAGTATCGCTAAGGCTGTGGAGTCTATCATGAACAGCCCCAGTACATCCACAGCTGTCAAGTCTATCGTTGACACCCCTTCTACAGCCGTCGAGTCTGACATCGACGCCCCCAGCACATCTTCAGCGGTGGAGTCTGTCGTTGACACTGGCAATACATCTTCAGCTGTTGAGTCGATCCTCCTGGAAAATGTGAATAATGTCATGCATTTGGATGATAAGATGATGGTGGCAGACACAATGACAACCCTCGGGGATCCGGAGAACATCACTATAAATAACTCACAGGAAATGTCGCCCAGTGAGCTTAACGACATCCTGCAGACAGTGAACTCTGAGGACTTCCTACAGCAGCTTGGCAGTGGAAACATCATTCTAGTACAGCAAGGGGACACTAAGGCATACGTCATGTTGAGTTAAGTAGGTCGTTCACTCGCCACCTTGCCACGTCTAGCTTGGTTATGCTACAGTAAAACTACAGAAGGTTGAGGTTAAGACTGTATACCGCTATAGGACAGTAGATGAATATACATGTAAATGTACTTATGTATAAACTGAACATTTTCACTCAGTGAAAATAGTCATACTAAATTTAGAGGAAATTCTGAACCTTTCATAATAAGGGCAGTGATGCTAACAGTCATCCCTTGAGGGCCCAATTTGCAAAATATAGCATTTATGTATATAGCTTCTCTTATTCGTCTTGTGTAAAATACTTCTCAAAACTTACCTGGTAACGAAATAATCATGAGGTGCTTTTCTGCACAAACATTTTCTTTTAGAATTGACTTTGCAAAGTTTTTTTGTATTTAAGTGCAGTTAAAAAAAATGGTTATTACACTTTTCACATGCTAGCCCAACCATATGGAGGGAACATCATTTCATTTCTTGGTACATTTGTGATTTACTGCTTTAAAAAATGATTGGTGTTTTAAGGTGAATGAATGATTTGTTTTAGTTCAAGTAATTTTATTTAAACAAATTTGTTGTAGATGTAAGTCATTTAACTCATTCACCCTTGAAATTTTATAATGAACTATTCCAACCTTTGAACTGGAAGAGTTCAAATGTGTCTTCAGGGGTGAATGAGTTAAGGATGTTTTTTATGAAAGGTTTTTCTTTAAATGTTTTGTGTAAGTATAAATACATGTAATACAATGAAAGTTCAATGTAAGACCTGTATATAAAATGGACATTAGGAGTAAACACTATTGTATTTAGACTTGGCTTTGCTATCTACCGTTACCTGTACATTGTATGTATAAAACATAATATGACTTTGTCAATTACAAAATTACCAAATATTGTACAATTTACTTGTTAATGTTGGAAATGAAGTAGGGTTCTAAAAATGTGAGAAACAATCTAGTCTTATACAGTAAAAGTGGTAACTAACGCAATGGGGTCCAATCGGCACAAACAATCCATACGTGATATATATAAATTTTATATAGAGATATTTCGGAATCATTGCCAACACGAAAGTTTCAACATAGTTTTTGAAGAGTCGAAACCTGAACATTTCGACAGATGAAAATTAGCACTTTAACAGTACTGTACAATGTGAGTAACAATGTAGTGTGTAACTGTACAGTGTGAGAATGTAGTCTTATAACAATGTAGTGTGTAACTGTACAGTGTGAGAATGTAGTCTTATAACAATGTAGTGTTTAACTGTACAGTGTGAGAATGTAGTCTTATAACAATGTAGCTCTATCTCATACTCATAAACAGCTTTGTGGATCTGAATTTGTACATGGGTATTATTGAGACAGTTATATTGCTGGCCCAGGAAGGAAATTCAGACAATATTGGTATATAGTATGACCCCTCGTAACTCCAGCAGTGTTGATGTGTTACAAGTTTCTGTTATTATTGTGTTATTCTAATGATCTTTATTATTCTGATTCTTCTGTCAGAAATAAGTACATGTACTGTGAAAGTGGAAATTTTTGTGGTGTGGAAATTCTCATGATTTTCATGTTGAATAAATTCATGTTTCCTGTTGATTTTCATGTTGGATAAATTTGTGCAAAAAAATATATAACATATATATAGATCATATATATGTCAAATATATATATATATAATATAAGTATTTTAGAATATTTGCCTGCTTCAATAATTTCCCACACTGAGATCAGTTTAAGAGTCAAATGTAGACATTTCCATGTGACACCAAATTTTCCACTTTTACAGTAATTGCCTTCATCAAATTAAAATGTAAATAATTTGCTCATGTAAGACCCTCTGTAGTCCCTAGAGTCGGGTTGTCCATAGAGACAGGTTGTCCTTAGAGACAGGTTGTCCATAGAGACAGCTGGTTGTCCATAGAGACAGCTGGTTGTCCTAGAGACAGGTTGTCCATAGAGACAGGTTGTCCCTAGAGACAGGTTGTCCTTAGAGACAGGTTGTCCATAGACAGGTTGTCCCTAGAGACAGGTTTGTAATTGTTGTGATGCTTCAATGAAGACAATTGAATTAATTACGACAGTCAAAGACACAGCTTTATAGACTGTTATCCTATACATACAAGCCTTATGTTATCTCCACTGAATTAGATCATGTGAAAATGGTACATGTGTACTAGCAATACTACGGACAAAAAGAATAATGATATTAAACCTTATCCATTTACTTGTGCATATATATAGGATCTTAAATGAGTTTCCATTATATATGAGATTGATGAAACAAGTCTTAGAATTTTTCAATTTAGCGAACTTCTGGTGAGCTTAAATGAAAAATTTGTGACGAGTTTCATAAATTTCATATGAAATGAAAACGAGTGTAAGATCCTTTTTTTACATAATCAAGATTTGTGCCATTTATTTGTGTAAAATTACAATTTTCACGCAACCTCGAAATCTAAAAAGCCACCATTTTGTCCTAGATGTGACGTAACAATTGAAACAATTAAAACTTACAACCAATCACAGGGCTGATAGGTCATATTACATGGGTTAATATTCACTGGATAACACAGTAAATTATGTGATACAATTGATTTTTTTATGGGTTGGAAAATGGGGTCGTGCTAATAGGCTTTTCAGACACAAAAAGAAATATCATGAGGTAAAAGGTCCCCAAGTGATGACTGGTATAAAACTTACCCTCGTGTTAATTATTAAAACCAAAAACGACAGTATTTTTGAAATTTTAAAAATTAACCATCTTGAGTAAGATAAACATGATAAATATATAACCAGCCAACACTTGTGTGGGAACTTAATGGAATTTGTTTTTTTCTGAATGTAAATTTAATATGTTTTTTGTTTGTTATGTTGTCTTTGTTTAAAAAACACCAACGGTTGACTGCCCTCCAATGTTTAGGAGAGACATCTTGACTGTTTTGTACATTGATATATATATACACCTGTATATATTGATGTTGCTTCATACTTAACATCTTGTAGGTCAATATTTAAACTTCTGTCGTATGTTGAGCTGAGTTGGGTCATTAAAAGATGAAAGTTTATCACTACTTGTTTGTTTTTACCACTTGGATTACTGCACACTACTTTTCCTGGAGTGAAATCGACTTCAACATGTGGTCAGAAGACTCCGCACATTTTAGATATATTCGCACCATTCCTGCTTTCATGATTATAACAACTTGGAAAATAAGAAAAATAATAATTAAAGTTTAAATACTGATTCTACTGGTCAGCAAATATGGATATTCAGCTAGGTGAAAAATACATGTTTTTACAGGTAGAACTATGAATTGAAGTAATTTTCGTGGCCACAGTAGATTGATAAAGCACACACATATACCATGAGCAGATGCATGTTTACATGGAAGTACAATTTTTGCAGACAAGTTGGCGCTGTGTACTATGGGCACACAGTTTTAATTTATGAGTACAGGCCCAGAAAGGTTAATTTTGAAGAAAAAAAAATCATACATATTGTTTGGGTTTTCAGTAGACCCTTAAGATTGTGTTATTGACTCCTCAGAATGAGATTCGACTGCTAGGTTTTGAAGGACAGATCTATTTAACATACATTTTGACTCCAAAATTCAGGTAAAGTTCAATTAGACTTTTGAAATTACTAAATACCAACGGTCAAATGAAAGCTTGGTTGTATCCCTAGCTGTATTGTCAAAGGAAGGCCCCTGATGTCAGAGACGAGGAAATATACATCCCTGAACTAGAGTAAATTTCCTTGTTTACAGTAATAGCCATAATAATGACATTATCATTGTCAAGTTTTCAAGGCATCGTGACCTTTGTCAAGACTCGGACATTAAACAATTACATTGATACACAACAGGACGAGCAATATTTATGTGGTGGTGCTTCATCAATTGCCTGTTAAATTTTGCATTGAACAAGAATCCTCCAAACTCTGCAGCATCATCAGCAAATTAAGACCAAAAGTTGTACAGATTAAGAGGGACTCAGAGGCGGGTCATTTTGAATGATTGGCTGTAAACTATATCTCCTAAACTGCTGGACAAGTTTCAACCAAATTGTGGTGGTTACATGCCGCGGTGGCCAAGTGGTTAAGGCGTCTAACATTCTGCTACCACTATCCCTCCACCGCTGAGTCGTGGGTTCGAGACCTACGTGGGGCAGTCGCCAGGTACTGGCCGTCAGTCGGTGGTTTTTCTCCGGGAACTCCGGCTTTCCTCCGCCACCAAAACCTGGCACATCCTTAAATGACCATAGCTGTTAATAGGAAATAAAACACAAACAAACCAAACCAAACCATGGAGATCAAAAGTGAAAAGCTGTTGAGGAACAGGGTCTGTTAGCCAACTTTGATACGAATGTCATCTTCTTAATTCTAGACAGGTTTCAACCAAACTTTGATACCATCCATAGCCAAGTGTTCGTCTCATAGTCCCCAACTACATCTGTTTGGTTTAGCATCAATTTGTTTTAAGGTACAGGTGAATGGATTTTAACTCGACTTGGTATGAAGCACACCAGCAGGTCCAAAGCTACAGTTATATCATCGACTCCCTATTATAAGTACCATCCTGGCAGCAGAGAGGCAGGCATTAATAACCCTTTCACCCCTATGTAATTTAAGTAGACTCTACCATGCATTGATCTGGATGCGTCCATTATGGTCTGCAGTGATGGAAGGGTTAAGGGAACTATACAGTATGTTAATTTATAAGACTATTCCTTAAATCAAGTGGACAGATTTGGACAATATAGTATGGAACGTCCCTTGGCCAGGAGATAATGTTCAGTATAAAGAAGGGTGTGGTCTCCCTTATGATCTAAACAATCGAGCCAAACTGGTAAACTAAAGACCATCTCGAAGAAGCATGCCCCAATATATAAAAAACTACTCCTCAAATATGAGTAAACTGATTTGACTAAAAAATTTATACAATATTAATGCATCCCAAATTCAAAGAGAATCATTTTTTATGTTGTCTATTCAAATCTAGTCACAAGTGTTAATGTTGCCAGGTGAAGTTTTAAATGCAGTATTAAAATTGATTACCTTAGCCTTTCATATCTGTCCTAAGTCCAAAGGTTAAAGTGCAAGTGTAAAAGTCCTTTATGTCTCCTCAGAATACTGATATTTAGGGGATAATCCTACTGTATTTTGAAATTTGCTGCAGTATACAATGTATGGTGATTATACTGTCCCAAATTGAGTTTTACTGAGCGGAGCCTGAGTAAAATGGATATTTGCGACAGTATCACGATATACAAATTACAAAATACAGTAGGGTTATCCCTATTCTAATTCATTTAGGCCACAAAACCATAGGAAATGACGATTTTAAGATATTTTTGAGTGTTTTCTTCAAATTCTGGGTCACTCTGCCATGGATTGGTGACGTCAAAGTGAGGCAAAATTACATTGACGGTTCGAGGTCATGCTATTGTATGTGACGTCATGAATAATCAATTTCATGACATGTCAGGGCCAGTCGGGGTCATTGACATAATTAACAATCGCCATCTGGGCTTCATATGCAAATGAGAAATTAGTGGACGGTATATTGTTGTCATACTGTCGCAAATTATTTTGAATGACCAATTAAATGTCATGTTACATCTCAAATGAATAAGGATTGGAGTTTTTGTTGGGTCCAATATTGATGCAGTGCAGTTAAACCAGAAAAGATTATCCCATTAAATTTTCAAAAAAAAAAATGTCGCCAAAATCTCTGGATTAAAAAGTTGTTGATAATATTGTTGAAGTTTACTGTAAATATAAATGCAAGACCATACACTTGTATTTTTCTAACGAATCAGAAAGCAGGAATTTATTGCACAAACGAATATATTCACGAGTTCCGCACACGAGTGAATATATACGACCAGGCACTTAATGAGTGCTTTCTGGTTGGTCTTGTTTTTATCACATACCTCCCGTATTTGGTAGAGATCGATACAAAGATTTTATAAACTTTGATAAGTTTTGCAAATACCGGGAACTTTTCAGTTTGCCATGACAAGGGGATTCCCATAAAATGTAGTTCCGGCTAGTAGGTAAATACAACATTCCGTATTGCACATGTGCAATACAGAACGTTATATTTCATGGTCTGAAAATTGCTTGTATTGCTATAACAAGATTCAACAGGTATGTGATAAAATGATCAGAGTTTCTAGTAGGATGGTAACTTAAAGGCTACCTAGAGGTCAAATATGATTGTACTCATGTCAAAACAGATATCTTTCCTATTTCTCTTAAAGTTCTTTACATAAGCAAGCTTAGATCTTGTTTTATCAGCAAGGGGTGAAAAGAACCCTGGACCAAGAATGATTTACTATATACTAAATATTGTTTTATAAAAGCAGAAAAATGATCCTTACGAACGAAGAAATAATATAAAATGAAAAAATCTCAACTTCAGACTGATATATTTATACACAGTGCCCCCACTCCTATCACACATACTTGTCACATAGTGGTATAAGAGTTAGGCCTTAAACAAATTTGAATTGCTTGTTAAACTAAATATGAAATATATTAATATCAAATTAAGTAACTAATGATAGTAGGTATAGAGTTAACAGGTCACTTGTAACCACATATATGACTAACACTGTTGTAAAACTTTGTATTTTTCAGATACTGAGAGTACCTGTATAGATATCATCAAGTTTGAGGTAGAAGATGAGATGGACGATATCCCGACCCCTCAGGTATTGGTACCTAATGCCTCCCAGCTGAGTGTCCACAATCCTGATGCTGAGGTCCAGACTCCAACCAGCCAGGACTTGGACAGTAGTGACTCAGCTACTGACAGGTCAGGAGATCGGGTTATAAATTCAGAACAAGACGGCACTGAAGAAAAACTCTTAGATGAGGAAATAGAGGATATGGACTGTAACAATGATATTGCCGACGACTTTTCTAATCATCCCTCCCCAAGCCGGGCTGTTTCCACGCCAGGTTTGACATCATCAACGCTTGACCTGAAAACAGAAAACGTGGCCGTGTCTGAAACTGCAAAGAAAAGGGATGAAATATCTGTTACCAGTGTCTCTGATCATTCTGACCGTGAAGCAGTTGTGGAGCTCACAACACCAGCACTACTCCCGAATACTCCGGACGACTCGTCTGCAGCAAAAGATAAAAAGGCAATGATGGAAACCATGGGGCTTACAGAAAAACAGAAATCCTCATCACCTAAAACAAGGAGAACTCGTTCCTCTGTGGACAGAGAGGAGGAGGAGGAGGATTCTGTTGCCACTCCTTCTCCAGCCAGAAAGATCAGAAGCTCCCGAAATTGTTCTACGCCTGTTTGGCTAGATTTGATTCCAAAACGAAATAGAAAGCAGAAGAGCGGCCCGGACGTGTGTTTTACTATAAAGAAGGAGAGTACAGGTGGAACTGGAGTCAGGAAACCACACAAGTTAACGCAAAATTCATCAGAAATGCAGCAAAATAAAAAACCTGAAACTTCTGATGATCAAACGCCAGTAAGAGTTGAAGTGAAATCAAGTACCAGGCAGGTTATAAAGAGGAAAAGTATGGCAGATGATGTGGACAAATCTGTGTCATCTAAAAGGTCAAAACAAAGTCAGGCATCCAACACATCAACAACAACAAATAGCAAACAAACAACTCCCACTGAGAGTCCACAACAGAGTCGACTGTCTAAGAGATTGGCATCAAAGTCTGACAAGGAGGCAACTCCATCTGAAACCCCGAAACAGACTCGATTGTCCAAAAGATTGACCTCAAAATCTGACAAGAAAGCAACCCCAGCTGAAACTCCAAAACAGACTCAATTTGACAAGGAAGCAACTCCATCTGAAACCCCGAAACAGACTCGATTGTCAAAAAGATTGACATCAGAATTTGATGAGTCGGCGATTTCTTCTGAAACCTCAAAAGAGGTTCAAGCATCCAAACCATTAACATCAGAATCTGACGGGGGAGCATCACTGTCGGAAACCCCAAAACAGGCTAAAAGGTTAACATCAGAATCTGACGAGGAGACAATCCCATTAGTGACAATAAAGCAGAATGAAACCTCAAAGATGTTGACAAGGAGATCTGGAAAAAAGGCAGCAGCTGCTACTGAATTACCTGAGCTAAGTAAAGTTTCCCGTAGATTAAAAGCCAAGAAAAGGTTCCCTGGGTCTGAACTTGTGGAGGCTTCAACAGAGTCTAAGTGTGATGTTTGTGATAAAGTCTACAGCACCTTGCAGAACATGCGTCGACACCGAATCACTCACTCGGACTTCAAGGCGTACAAGTGTACTTTCTGCTCACAGCGTTTCCATTACATCCAGTATCTACGGGAACACGTCGTGGGCTGTCTCAACAACCCACAACGGGTCAAGTATCGTAACCACGAACGCATGAGGCCCTCGCCGGTCATGATGAGACACCTTACAATCGTACCCTCACCGGACGAACCGGACACATTCATCAACCTTCCTTTTAGTGAAATGTCCGATAAGTTAACAGAGGTGAACTCACAAGAAGAGATACAAAATCTAACAGCGGAAAATACAGAGCAGGAAATTCTCGATGTGCTAGACAAGGTGAAGGCGTCCCAACCCGAGGTAAATTTACAGGAGGCGAGGCGTTTACATCGGGCGGCTACCAAAGAATTTCGGGAGGGGATTAACTCAGAGGAGTGGATGACCGAGGATGGTCAATACAAATGTTACATCTGCGAGAAGATCATTGCAAACCAGTATAACTTATACCGACATCTGCAGACTCACACCGAATCAAGGCGTTATAAGTGTACGTTCTGTGAGCGCCGCTTCGCCGTCGGACAATACCTGAAAGATCATGTCATCTCGTGTGTTAAGAACAGAAACCGTGTCACCTCGGCAACTAATCGTCGACAAGTCGATCCGGAAGTGAAGCGTAAAATTATAATCCTGCCATCGACTGTGGAGGACGGTACATTTGTGAATGCAGAAATAGGAGAGGATTCGGAGGGTGTTGATGTAGACAGTGAACTCGATTTAGGTCATTTACCAGCTGGTTCCACTGGTGATTCAGACAAAACCAGAAACTGGGAGAATACTGAGGATGAACCACTGGAGGAAAGCACACAGGTGCTTGATGACGCCATGGCAACTGAAGACCAGGAAGCAGTTTACAAGTGTTCTGTGAGGGAGTGGAATAACTACTATGCCCATCGCTCATATGATGGGACAGGCAAGAGTGCATTCAAGCTCAGCGCACAAATGATCAGCGTGTTTAAAAAGGAGAAACAGTTGGGTGCTGAACGTGTTAAGAAGAAGGTCTCGTCTCCATACCATTGCACTGTTTGTAACTTGAAGAAATTTAATCGCGCTGAAACTCTCCGTCGACATCTCTTTTCACACATGGGCAATAATCACCAGTGCGAGATCTGTGGGATGGTCTTCCTTTACCAGGACTACCTGAAAGCTCATGTTCTGCAACAACATTTCGCAATTAAAAGAAATCGGAAAAGTCGGTCATCCAAATGTTTTACATCCCAACCCCAATCATCTGGGTCTTTGTCCTGTGACAAAGCTAAACCTGATGTGGTCAGCGCTGACTCTGATCTGAAGACAAATGGATCTCAGAGCTCTGATGGCAAGGCAAAGAGCTTGGATGACAAGGCACAAAACTTAGTTGATGAGGCAAAAAGCTCAGATGACAAGGAACAAAGCTCAGATGTCAAGGAACAAAGCTCAGATGACAAGGAACAAAGCTCAGATGACAAGGAACAAAGCTCAAATGACAAGGAACAAAGCTCAAATGACAAGGAATATACATGTGACAATTGTGGAAAAGTGTTCAAGATCAAATATAGGCTTAATGTTCACAAGTCAATGTGTCTTAAGAAAACTGGGAAAACATCACGTCTGAGGCATAAACTTGATAGAAAGTGTGTGAGGAAACTACAGAACTTCAAAAAACGCATTTTATATCAGTGTGTGGAATGCCAGAATAAATTCTTCAAATACGAAAACCTGTTGTGGCACCAGTTCAGTAACCACGGCTTGGCCTCCTTCACCAAGTGTCCGGTGTGCTCGGAGACGACGGACAACGGACGTCTATTGACTCACCTGATAGAACGCCACCAAAGCTATCAGTGTCAGCAAAAGACGAGCAAGGCGGCTCCGCCCCAGTACAACTTCCAGTGTAACCAGTGCGATAAGAAGTTCACCAAGGAACTCACCATGCTGATACACCAGCAGAAGCACATGTCGGGTAAGGACCAGTTTGACCCCGCCCTCGGTAACCAGTGTCCGGTGTGTAAGGTGAACTTTGTAACCTTCGGAAACATGAGGCGTCACTTCAAGGTGGTTCACAGTGACGAGAAACCGTTCATGTGCCATCTTTGTGGCAAGTCATTCAAAACCAACGACACCTTAAAGTCCCATGTGAAGATACACGATCGGGAGAAACACCTCAAGTTCAGGTGTAAAACCTGTGGTAAGGGATTCTTCAGAAATCGTCTGTTAAAGGAGCATGAGACCCTGCACATTCCCGGGGCAACAACATGCATGTGCGACATCTGCGGGAAGCGCTTCCGTCTGAAGCCGAATCTAAGTAAACACATGAACAGTGTTCACAATGTCGAGCGTAACCATGTGTGTCAGACCTGTGGCAAAACATTCAAACTCAAAGAGCAGCTCAAAAATCACATGCGTTACCATGTCATTAAAGACGGTAAGGTAGGAGAGGTAGGAAATAAGTACGGAAAGATCTATAAATGTGAGACATGTGGTAAGTTCTGTCCCTCCAGCTACTCACTAAAGATACACAAGACCTCCCACTCCTCAGAGAGACCATACCCCTGTGAGGTGTGTGGACGGAGGTTCAAGGTAAAGAGCAAGGTCCAACGGCACATACAGAACGTCCACAATTTTACGGGCAAAACCCGGCGCCCAAGGAAAACAGCTGACAGCAAACAAATTATAACTGCCACACATTCGATGAAGGAGGAGGCTGTCTGGTCGTCACAGAATGATGAGAATATTGCGGAGAGTATCGTGGAAGTGATAGTAAACAGTGAGGCTGAGTTGGTAGAGAGCACCAAGATGTATTCCCTGTTAGATCACTCCTACAGACCCTCTACTTCTGGTGCCGCCTCCACGCAACATTTGTCCCCCAACGATCAGGCCGTGATCAACGAGGCGGTCAAGGGCATCACCGCCGAGGAGGACACGGAAACAAACTACATCATACAGGATGTTCAGGAAATTGAAGATCAGCCGGGCATGTACATCGTCTCAACAGATACGCCAGTGGAGGCTGGGTCGGAGTCAAACGAAACACAGACATTCAGTCTGAGTGTGGATGAAGGGCCGAAGACTCTAATCTACTACATCACCACTGACTAGTATCTGGGTCGGAGTCAAACGAAACACAGACATTCAGCCTCAGTGTGGATGAAGGGCCAAAGACTCTAATTCACTACATAACCACTGACTAGCTATGTCCTTGGGGATTCATCAGGGTTTTGGGAAACGGACCCTGCAATGAAATCAGGAAAAAGCATCACATAATAGCCATTTTGGGATATTTGGATAATCATTATAACAACTCAGAGATTAGATTATTTAACTTTTAATTAAGTCTGTCTTTATAACAACATGATAATTATGTCCTTCCTACGTATGCTGAATTTTGAGAACTCAGTCAATCAATAGGAGTTATCTAAATATATGCATTTATTTGTTTGTTTAGATTTCCAATTTTGAAATTTTAAAGGGGTAAATTGTGAAAAACTACAAACTTTTTCAATTAGGAATGGGTCCTCTAAACAGCCCTTAAGAGTATCCTGATAAACCCCTGCTCCTGTCTAAAGTGTATCAGGTAGACCCCTGCTCCTGTCTAAAGTGTATCAGGTAGACCCCTGCTCCTGTCTAAAGTGTATCAGGTAGACCCCTGCTCCTGTCTAAAGTGTATCAGGTAGACCACTCGAGGTCTCTCGGCTCACTGCCGTGACAGTACTCTCCACTGGAACGTGTCGATGATGTAGCAGGTATATAGATACGGTGTCTGACTACAGGACAATACTCTCCAACCTAGAGTAGTTTTACATAGACCACTCAAGGTCTCTCACTGCCGTGACAGTACTCTCCACTGGAACATGTCCATGATGTTTCTGGTATATAGATACAGTGTCTGACTACAGGACAATACCCAGACAAAGATCTCCTTGATGTAGATAGGGGGTTTAATCATAGTACTGTAAATATACTTGTTTAAGCAGTACTCTACTTTTAGTGATTTTCACATTTGAAATATTGCATCAAATTATGATTACACTGACAGAAGGTTCTGTAAGTCATCTTTTATTGTATTGTGGATTCACCAATAGATCAGTGTTCTAATCTGTATAGTTTGATGAAACATTAAAGTTTAGTTTCTAAATTAAGTATGTTTACAGTAACTGGCCCTCAAATTACTCTCAATGTTCAGTTTGATTGTAATTCTATCTTTTTGTGCTGAATTATAATCAGAAAACATATTGTGAGTTGAGTAAAGCCTTGGTTACAAAAATCCTGATATCTGCCCTGTGCGTGTAACGGTTTGAAACATTTACTGTGTATTAACGTAACGGTTTGAAACATTTAATGTGTATTAACTCCAGCTTTCCTAGTTACATGAACATTAGTGACTACAGATGTATACCTGCAGATCATGAAAATAAATAATGAATCAAATAGTTTGTAAACAAAAATCCTTGAAAGAGAGTATTGTTATACATCACACAATACACCGTATGACTTAGTGATTTACGTTAGGGTCGGTAAAACTGTGATGTGTATGTGTTCCCAGGAAACATTTGGTCCGACGTATCACTATGATTTATGTTTTCCGTTAGTGGGATCTCTTGTACATGTTTGTAGTATACTGATTTTTGTTTTCAGATATCATGTTATTTTGTAGAGTGTTAGTATGTACATAACAATGTTTGAACACATAATTATGTCCTAATTCTGTGACAGATGTTACAGGTGGTATATTCTCCGTACTAGAAAGATTTAATAATTGGTAAATGTAATTATATTTAAAAAATACAAATCATTGTTTTTCACAACCTCAGCCAATTACATCATATACTTACAGGGGAATATTGATAGAGTCTGTCATATGTAGGATTAATAGAATCTTCCCCTACCTAGCTTGAGGGTGTGACAGAGAAATCGCCACCCCGAGGGGGGATGTTTTTGCCGAGGGTTAGACAACCAAAAAAATCACACAGAGGGTTGGAGATTTCTCTGTTATACCCTCAAGGTAGGGGATGATTATTTTTTTCCCAATCCTATTATTTCAGTCACAATTCTACCGACAGTAGTCTGCCATGTTTGTAAACAAAAACACGTGTCGGGTATGCATATCGTCATTCACTTTTGATGACGTCACAATTACCGATGACGCATTTGAATGGCGTCACAATTGAACAAGTGCTAATCGGCATGAGGCTATCTCCGCCTGGGGGATGACAAGCTGATCTTTCCCGGCTTGAATGGGAGACACACCTGTGAAGGGTGGGAGAAATGGATGTTCTATACAAGAGTGCAGAGTTTCTGTCAAAATCTTTAAAAAGGCTTCACTGAGATGCTGACACTACTTCTGCATCCGAGGGTGTAGAGTATCCACATCCCCACATACCTACATGTCAATGGACTCTTTACCGAGGTCCTGACCCACTTCTACATCCCAGGGTGTAGAATATCCACATCCCCACATACCTACATGTCAATGGACTCTTTACCGAGGTCCTGACCCACTTCTACATCCGAGGGTGTAGAGTATCCACATCCCCACATACCTACATGTCAATGGACTCTTTACCGAGGTCCTGACCCACTTCTACATCCGAGGGTGTAGAGTATCCACATCCCCACATACCTACATGTCAATGGACTCTTTACCGAGGTCCTGACCCACTTCTACATCCGAGGGTGTAGAGTATCCACATCCCCACATACCTACATGTCAATGGACTCTTTACCGAGGTCCTGACCCACTTCTACATCCGAGGGTGTAGAGTATCCACATCCCCACATACCTACATGTCAATGGACTCTTTACCGAGGTCCTGACCCACTTCTACATCCGAGGGTGTAGAGTATCCACATCCCCACATACCTACATGTCAATGGACTCTTTACCGAGGTCCTGACCCACTTCTACATCCGAGGGTGTAGAGTATCCACATCCCCACATACCTACATGTCAATGGACTCTTTACCGAGGTCCTGACCCACTTCTACATCCGAGGGTGTAGAGTATCCACATCCCCACATACCTACATGTCAATGGACTCTTTACCGAGGTCCTGACCCACTTCTACATCCGAGGGTGTAGAGTATCCACATCCCCACATACCTACATGTCAATGGACTCTTTACCGAGGTCCTGACCCACTTCTACATCCGAGGGTGTAGAGTATCCACATCCCCACATACCTACATGTCAATGGACTCTTTACCGAGGTCCTGACCCACTTCTACATCCGAGGGTGTAGAGTATCCACATCCCCACATACCTACATGTCAATGGACTCTTTACCGAGGTCCTGACCCACTTCTACATCCGAGGGTGTAGAGTATCCACATCCCCACATACCTACATGTCAATGGACTCTTTACCGAGGTCCTGACCCACTTCTACATCCGAGGGTGTAGAGTATCCACATCCCCACATACCTTCATGTCAATGGACTCTTTTACTGCCACCTCTTTCTTATCAGAACTTTTGGTAAAACAGAACACAGACAATACAAATGCAGTATTAAATATAACGAAATTTCTTGTACAAATTACGGCTCTATTTAGAAAGAGCTTAAAAAAGTAAGATCAAGAGATACAAGTAAGACCTTGAGGGCAAGCTTGTACAGCAGTTCTTATGTTCTGGAGTTGATGTCACTTGCTGATGGCAATATTGCTACAGACAGTCAAACAATGTTTTAACAAGTTTTAATTGTGATGTCACAGTAAAACGGCATCATCTGACTGTGACGTCATCATAGTACCAATGTGTGTTACTTGTATGCCACATAGACAGAGGTGGGAGAAATCAACAAAGTATAACCCATATGTGATATTGGCAGGATATGGAGTTCATGTACATGTATATATTCCTTGGTTCTTTTAACCATGTCCCAAGTTAGGAATACCATTGCCCCAGGCATTTATTGTGAGATTATTTGTTATTTTTGCCTAAAGATATCTTTTTTAGGAAATTCTTTGCTCTTAAAATTCTGTTACATGAAATCTGTTTGAAACCTCCGGTATGATTGAATCCGATGATGGCTGATGTTTTCACGTTTAATGAAGGTTTAAATCTGGTGAATAAAATCTTTTGTATTTCCATTTCTCAGATATTGTATGTCATATTATCGTTTTGGCTTCTTAAATAAAATAACGTTTAATTAAATCTGGTTATTTGTTTTCATAATCTGCCAATCCTTAAAGACATGAATTAATTAATGACGCAAAACACATTAATGACATGAAACAACTCAAGGACCCATGGAATCATCAATGATGTGAGATAATGACATGAGAAATCATCAATGATGTGAGATAATGACATGAGAAATCATCAATGATGTGAGATAATGACATGAGAAATCATCAATGATGTGAGATAATGACATGAGAAATCATCAATGATGTGAGATAATGACATGAGAAATCATCAATGATGTGAGATAATGACATGAGAAATCATCAATGATGTGAGATAATGACATGAGAAATCATCAATGATGTGAGATAATGACATGAGAAATCATCAATGATGTGAGATAATGACATGAGAAATCATTAATTTAATGACATGTGAAATCAGGAAATGAGAAATTATTATTAATGACTTGTGGAATTATTAATGACTTGTGGAATTATTAATGACTTTAATGTCTTAATGAAATTATGACACGTGAGATCAGGATATGAGAAATGATTAATGTGATGTGGAATCATATGACATCAGAAATCATTAATGACATGTGGAATTATCAATGACAAGTGAAATCATCAATGTCTCTTGATTTATTAGGTCACATGGTGCGGCGTCCTTCATCAAATTTTAGCTCACCTGCTCGAAGGGCTAGTGAGCTTATGCCATGGTGCAGTGTCTGTCGTCCGTCAACATTTCCTTTTAACAACTTCTGAAGAATGGACAGGCCTAGAATCTTAATATTTGGCTGGTAGCTTCTTAGGATAGAGCCAACAAAGTTTGAGAATGAATATGACCTTGACCTACTTACAAGGTCACAGGGACAAATGTGTCAGACAGTTCAAACAACTTCTTCTGAAGAACCGAAAGGCATAGAATCACATAATAATATTTGTTGGATAGCTTCCATGGATGGAGCCCAACAAAAATTGTGATTGAACATTACCTCAACCTATTATCAATTCACTGGGGTTTAAGTGCAAAGTCTTGATATTTAACAAGTTGCTTCCTTAGATCGACCCCAACAAAGTTAGTGAATGAAAATGACCTTTACCTACTTTCAAGGTCATAGGGATCAAATGTGTTAGCATATTTAAATGACTCTACTCAATAACTAGGAGCCACAAGGTGATGATATTTTGTATTAAGGACTTCCAAGTTTTTTCAACTGATTGACTTTGTTAGACTTTCAAGGTCACCGTGATGAATGTGTTAAAATCTTGTAACAGGTTGTGATTAATCAAGAGTCACAGGTAAGGATTTTAAGCCCCGTGACCATCATTAAATCACCCAGCGTCTGTCCTTCTTAAACAATTCTTGTTAGTGCTATTTCTCATAAAGTACTGGAGGGATCTTCTCAAATTTCACATGACGGTTCCACAAGGTCCCTAGTTATGCATATCAAATTTTGGGACTGATCTGAAAACCAAGATGCGGACAGGTGGCCATCTTATTACAGTTTAAGTTTGTCATTGCTATTTCTCAGAATATACTGGAAGGATCTTTCTTGGTCCTTAGTTGTGCATGTTAATTTTTGAGCATGATCAAAATACTGATAAGGAGGCGGACAGGCAAACTGATAAAACAGATAAAAGAAAAAGAAGAGAAAAGATGGAACTGACATAGAACTACCAGGTTACGGAGATGGTACAATGGTGAGCGCCAAGATCCCTCTGGAATCTCTTTGTTATCCTATAGTTTTATCTAAATCTAATTTGATGGAGTGATCTTGACCCAATATGATCAATTTTGTATAAACCATGGGGACAGAAGGATGGGACCATATAATAAAGGGTGTTGCCGAGAGACAGCCAATATTATATTATAGTGCCGAATAATATTTAATGAGAATATTTTGCTATGACTGCTTAAATATCCAGGTGAGCGATACAGGTCCTCTTGGCCTCTTGTTTTCTGTAAATGACTTATTCTGAATAATCAATAGACCTAGGGTGATGATATTTGGCCAAGAGCATGCTGGGATGAAGAGCTACAAAGTTTGTTTAAATGAATGATTTTGATCAACTTTTAAGCTCACTGGGGTCAAATGTTTGAAAAAAATTCAAACAATCGTTTCTGCATAACCAAAAGACAGAGGGTGTTGATATTTGTTCAAATGAATGACCTTCACCCATATTCAAGGTCACAGGGGTCAAATATGTTGAAATCTTTAATCAGCTTCTTTTTAATAACCAAAAGACCCAAAGTAAGGATATTTTGCCAGTAGCATGCTGAGGTGAACGGCTACTAGGTTGTTCAAATGAATGATGACTCTATACTCATATTCAACGTTACAAAGGTAAAATATGAACAACTTTAATTCTTATGAATCATCAAACGGCCCAGGTTGATAATACTTGGCCAGTGAAATGCTGGGATGAATGACCTTGGATCATATTCAAGGTCACAGGGGTCAAATATGTTAAATACTTCTAATGACTTCTGAATAACCAAAATGCATAGGATGGTGATATTTGGCCATTAGCATGCTCAGCTTTTTTCATGTGAATGACTTGAACATACTTTCAAGGTCACATATCTTCAAATGCATATATAAATCTTTAAAAGATCTCAATAATTCACTGAATAAACACAAGGTCTAGGGTGGTGGTATTTGGCAAGTTGCATGCTGGGATGAACGGCTATAAAGTTTTCCTTGTTTGACTTTCAAGGTCACATGGGTCAAATGTGTTTAAATCTATTAATAGCTTCTTTTGAATGACTTATGACTTCGAGTCATAGATACTGATATTTTGCTTGTAGCTTTATTTCGGTCCACTTTTAAGGTTACAAGTGTGAGATTAATACCAGGTGAGCGATGCAGGCCCATTGGGCCTCTTGTTAAGGTTACAAGTGTGAAATTAATACCAGGTGACTGATACAGGCCCATTGGGCCTCTTGCTTTACAACACCTGAAGATCATACATACAAACACGGTATCATAAATAAGAGAAACCTATATAATTGTTGATTATTTACCTTTATTTATAGCACAATTTCCCGTTCGTATGTAAATATTATCATATACAAGTAAACAAAACAACATTGTCACATGCTTTATAATCTTTTGAAGGAAGTTTTGCAAAAATTAAAATGAGAATGTGAATATGACAGAAAATTTAACAAAAAAAATCACTGAAGTTCCGAGATTCTATTATCAATGCTAGACATAAACTGTCCATGTCAGAGAGATTAGGGCTCAAAATCAAAATACTTCACTATACAGGAATATTTACTGGAAAAGATTCACTGAGTTACAAACCTGTAGAAAGATTCTGAGTGTAAAAATCTAAATCACTGAGGATGACATTTAAAACATAAAAATAATATTAATTTGATGTTTTTATATACCGCTTTATCACAACCCTAGTTCGTAGGTCGTCTCAAAGCGGTTCACAAATTATTATCCGTGGTTATAGGGCCTTTGCAACCAGCCAACTCCATGGGGAGCATACAGCCGGTGCTGCCATTTTTGCGCTTATTACAACAGCTAGCATTCAACAATTCTAGAACTGCCCAACCACATACTCATTTACAGCTGAGTAGACTGGAACAAGCAGAGTAAAGTATCTTGCTGAAAGACACAACACAGTGCCATGACATGACTCGAACCCCGCCACCCTTTGGTCACGAGCCTGGCGTCCTACCACTAGACTACTGTGCCTCACAACCCTCCAGTCACGAGCCCGGTGTTCTACCACTAGACTACCGTGTTCATAGGATCTTGTTTGATTGCATGTTAATTATTGAAGTATTTAAAAAAAGAATTGCTTAAAATAATTCTGATTTGTATCAAATATGATTAATTAAAAACAAAAACAAAACGCTGATTGACGTACGCTCAACACATAATGGATCAACCTACTGGGGGAAAATACAATAAAAAAACATAATGATAGTAAAGTCATACCACTCCAGGTGCTAAAACCTATAATGGTAGTAAAGTCACACCACTCCAGGTGCTAAAACCTATAATGATTGTAAAGTCACACCACTCCAGTTGCTAAAACCTATAATGATAGTAAAGTCACACCACTCCAGGTGCTAAAACCTATAATGATTGTAAAGTCACACCACTCCAGGTGCTAAAACCTATAATGGTAGTAAAGTCACACCACTCCAGGTGCTAAGTGCTCAGATCCACCGTAGTCACCTACTTCCAGTACCTAAACGTTCATATAAATACATATATTTCCTCTACCAGTTTACATTTTGAACATTTCAAAGTACCAAAATATACTTTTTTGTACATAGTTGGTTAATAATCATGTGATATACAGAAGGTATAAAATGTACAAAGAACCCAGAAATAATGCCTCTTGTTATATATACACTAAAACCTTGATATAATGCATGTTTTATATATACAGTAACTTTTCCTTTTTTTGCTCCAAAATCCAAAATAACAAGGTTTTACTGCCCAATTTTCATGTATCGCGATCCAAACAGTTGCACCAGAGTTGTTTGTTTATGAAATAAAGTCAGACCTAGTAATCTGATGCTGCTTTCAGGCGAGCCTTGACAAAGCCTTATAAGACCTGCATAAACATTTGCCGGTCCGCCAGGATTTATACCCAAAACCGTTACATTTAAAAACCAGACAAACCGTTTGTTCCACATAAACGAACAGGCCCCTGGTGATCAATGTTACGAGCCTCCAGGTGCGACAGTACGTGTCTCTGGATGATCTCGGACATCACCTGAGCTACAGAACCCTGAGGTTTTATATACCATATCCTGGTAAAATCATTATACATTGATTACAACAAAACTCTCCCTACTTTTGATTATTTGGGGTTAATATATACATCTATGTTGGTGTCACAGTATAATACACCGTCTAAAGTTGACCTTTACAAGACTTCCTCAGATCTGAAAAAGAATGTCGGTGACCATTTAACATTAGTTT